GCAATAATTGGCACGATAGCCTGAGAGATTGAAGGAGCCGCCATGGTGACCCCGACATTAGCAAGAGGGAAAGAAGAAATTGTTATGGTCGGAACTGAAGCAGAGGCCCCAGAAGGTCCAACCATCTTCTTTCTTTTCATAAGGAAGGTTCTTTCCTCCGCCTTGTTCTCCTCAGAAGGCTGCTGGCCAGCTCTGCTAAGGGTGAGCAGACACTCCGATGACTTCTTATAAGCAGCAGAGTTGGTTTTCAACAGTTTGGCCTCCGCCACGCTCTGGCGATGGTGACGAGATCAGGCCTTGGTGGTTTCTTCTTCTCAAAGTCGGTTGCAAAAGAAAATTACTATCATTAGAAAGAGGAAAAACAGTAAAAGAGAATTACTATCTTCAAAGCGATGTAGTTACCCTAGTTAGTCATCAACCCGTGTAGAACGAAGTGATGGTTCTGATCTATAAGCTCCTTGTAACTCCTCTTCGGCAGAGGCGTCTGGTACAACTGGCTAATGATGCCCCACTCCTCCTCGATTATCTCGCACTTCGGAAGGGAGCATACAAAGAACAGAAATATTAAAACCATAAGCAGTTGGTCAAGTAAAATCAGATCGGTGAACTACTTACTGTAAGTAGAAGAGGAGGTGGGGATGGTCAGAGGCGCCATGGAATCATTCTCCATGGTATCCCACCGGCCAGATGCCCAGAACCACGAGCTCTTCTAGCCCTTGATTGAGGAAGGTAACCCGACCACAAATGGCGAGTAGGACCTCTAGGGAGCTAGGTAGTACCATCATTTGCTCGCCTCCCTCCCCCTCTCCCGGCTGTGACTTTTTGGAAGAAGAGGGAGTGGAACAAGCTGAAAGGCATATGTTACACTCCGATTGTGACCCGTCGCCACAACATCCATGTCCCTACCATCTGGGACCAGGAATTGGGGTTGAACTGTGTCAGGGCCAACCCGTAAGACCTAAGTACTAGTCTGAAGAAAGAGTGGAAATGAAAGCTCAACCCGGAACAAGTGATCACTCACTGCTACACACCTTGGCCTAGGATAGCAGGCCCTCTCGTGTAGCTCGGGTCGGATGAGCTAAATGTTATGGGGAACTCTAACAACGTTCCCACATCTTTCTATCAGCTCCTGGGTGATTTTTGATGGATATTGTGATACCCCCCAATGGATAGATGTATCTATGGGAGAGGCTGGGCGTTTCCAGATATTCTCCCCGGCCCTAATAGCCATACTCAGCTCGTCTGGAGATATAAGTATGGGTTCCCTCGGTGTGAAACTCTCATCTCTTCACCACTTCGGCCAGAGCAGAATCTGATGTTGCAACAACTCCCTCTAGAGTTGCCAAGTCCTGTCGCTTCGGCCGTACCAGCTTTGGGTTGCAATAGCTCTCCAAAGAGTTGTCCACCCATGTCACTTTGCTTAGAGCAAAATCTGATGTTGCAACAACTCTTTCTAGAGTTGCCAACTCCTGTCGCTTCGGCCGCACTAGCTTTGTGTTGCAACAGCTCTCTAGAGTTGCCAACCCATATCACTTCGACTAGAGCAGAATCTTTACAATAGCTCTCCTCAAAGAGTTGTCAGCCATTATCACTCTGAACACATCACAGTCTCACTTCGTATCAACATCCGACAAAATCATTGGCGTTCGCTTTCAACTGCCCATCCCCAACGTTCTTCCCCATGTGTCCCAACTTAACACTTAAAACTAAAAGTCCTCGCACTATATGAATATCCGTACATGAACATGCGAGACTATTGTTACGGGCCTGTGTTAGACTCGCCACGTGTTAGTAGAAGTGGTCCACACCACGTCACGCGTCGATCGAGGTGATTGTGCATGGGATGAACTGACTGCACATGTCGAAATGATTATATGAAACTGAACGTATGCTAGTGAAGGAACCGAACTCATCTGCGATACACTGCAGATGCAAAGGCCCCGTACTCCGCTTCTACGACTCTATACCTGCCTCGCCTTGCCCCAACAAAGATCTCTTTACAAAGATATTTCCAAAGTCAAATTTCTGACTGATGGGACGTGCGGTAAGACCCAAATTGTCAATTCAGCTGCCTTTGTCAGAGACATTCAATGTCGCCAACCTATGGAGGGATAGATTGATACCTAGGATGGGACAAGCCTTGAAAATCTGATAACACATGTCCCCTCATCCAACGACTCTCCTCTTTCCATCCTTAGTATAAATATCCGCTCCTTGTGCTAGAAGAAGCATTCGAATCAAAATTTCTCCTACTACATTGCAAACTTAAGTATCATCCCCTCCCTTAAATATTGACACTTTATCACTACACGCTTTATCAAACATTTCCCGACGAGTGTCCTACCACCGGTAAACCTTTTCCGGTTGAACCTTAAATTGACTTGACCGTCGAAGTTCTCGCGGCCACTCCCAGCTCCTCCGGGAAAGGCCACGGGTCATTAACGGCGTGCTACATGTGCATGGAATAGCTGCCTTGAAGACTTATTCTGCTGGCCACGTGTCGGAGCCATTTTTCGAGGTCAACAATACAATTAATACAAAATAATTTAACAATTTTAATTAATGTTTGTTGAAAAAGAAAAAAAATATATTTCATGCAATAAGAGAAGCTACAAACGACATAAATTAATTAGGTTTAGTAATGATACAAGATACAATTAACATTTATGTTAAGATATGACTGAGGTCAATGTGAAGTAAGAAGAACCAACATATATTTTTGTTCCCAAATATATTTTACCATTAATTAGGCATATTTTTAAAGAACAAGATTAATAAAAAAACACAAGAATGATATTTTTCTTCTTGTCTTTTTGTACGTGAATTGCTTAAACAATCACAAGCACCTTCTCTCATGATAGAAGAACAGATAATGACTATTCACGTGAAATTCAGCTTTATTAATTTAATGAATGGTGAAAATTTAAAGAATGCAATATATGAAGTCAACATGCAAAATAAAGAGAAAAATTAAATAAAATTGTGGTCTTTTAAACTTAGTTAATTTGTTAAAAAAAAACATATTATGCTAAATCATCCCAAAATGCATACATTTTGATTTAAATTTGAAGTTTTAAATGATTAATTAAAACAAATTGATTATTTACCAACTTATAATTGACTAACATCCCAATTCTAGAAACAAAAGATTCAATAAAACATTGATTAATTCAAAGGTAAATATAAGAATGTAGATCTTTATTAACATATTTTCAATTTATCGTGGAATGTTAATCGGGAAAACCTTCTCACAAATTTAGAATTAATTATAGATTTTTTCGTCGCCAATTTATTTAAGCAAACATGTAGCTTTGAGATTAAACATTAAAGAATCACGTGATGATTTAATAAAAGTTGGACCGAGCTATCGTAGACATAGTCATTAAAATTGGTCCATTATCAAAGGACCGATCAAGAACCACTCAAATCGGTCCATAGCCGAGCAAGCTACGTCGAAATCGGATCCGATTCAAACTAACCTGGTTGTTCCCAAATTGATCCAGATATTTGCACTAAAAGAGATTTGAACTTGTGCTTCTTGTGTGAAATATGAGTCCCTTGACTACTATGGCAATTACCATTATGACAGTATCAAATATATATAGTCAATTTTATTAAATGTTGTGTATTTTTCTAAAAAAATATTTTTTTAGCTAATAATCGACCTAATAATAATTCAACGGTTGAATCATTGATCCATCAATTGAACCACTAACTCAATGATTTATTCGAGTCGACGATTGAATCGGATCTGATAACTATGATAGTCGGATCAGGAAAATATAATGAACCGTGCTACTTGTACAACCGAGGTTGACAATCTCGATTGACAACCACTCACACATGAGATGGGTGGAGGATGTGTAATTTTTTATTTTTTTTAAACATATTGAGACCCACCATTGTAAAAGATTGTCAACCTCGAATGTACAACTCGTGTTTTCCAAATATAATCATAAGTTAGAAGATGGTTATTGGTCGAGGACCAGTGATACGAATTTCTCAAATTTATATTACTTAAAGTGGGTCCCGTTCTGTGCTATATATACTCCAACACTTGCCTCTCCCTTTCTCGTGTTATTTAGTGGGTATTACACGCACACATAACAACATACACTATTTTCTGTGTTCTTCGACAAACAATTTTTGTCTTGCTGTCTTTGCAAGAGAAACGCTACAGATTTCTACACTCTTTCGTTGGCTAAATTTCATAAGCAGTTTTTTTTTTTAATAGAACAGGACCTTATGTAAGAGTCCCTTGTTCTTGTTCATTCTCTGCCTTGCAGTTTGATGCGAAATTGAAGACCCATTTCTCGTTGGATGAATATACGGTAACGCTTTTTCTTTTCGCCTCATATTATCATACTTGGAACTTCGAATCTGATTTGTTTGAAGGTCTACATTGAAAATTATGAGTATTTCTTTTATGGGTTTTTGGAGATTTGTTTATTGTTTTTTGAGAAAGTGTCAAATTTTCATGAAGAACATTGGCTTCTTTCAACTTGATAAATAATTTACACAATAGTCTTGTGCCTATGATAACTACGTTAGAGAAAGTTCCAATTTTGATTTGGATTTTTGAACTTTCTTTCTTAGAATGCATCCCCGTATTTCTGAATGTTTGCTCAAGATTTTGGAGAATGAATATAATGCCTGAACAGTGGAAATGGATGTAATGTGTTTAATAAAGCATTTCGTCTTTGTCTTATTTTCTCTGAATACAGCGTAGAGAGAAACAATAATTCTGATTTTCTTAAAGGAAAAATAAACGAAGAGATTTATTGGCTTTTGGGTGGTGTTTACTATAAGTTTGATGTCGCCATTTTCAGTTCGAAGGCCAGCATTGCAGTACTTTCGAAAGTTAGATAACAGGCAAGGTTGTAGAACTCACTGAGGAATTGACTGAAACTGAGTGTATTTTTGGTATATTTGATATTGGAATGTTTGCATAAGACATAACACATTGTGGGGGAAAACAGGTTTTTTTTTAAAGGAGTCTGATGGCATCTCTTAGAAGAGCATTATCTCCAGTGCTTCGATCAGGAACTTTATTGAATGGTGAAGCACGTCAAGTTGCGTCTCCTTTGTCCAAGTCGTCTTCAAACAGTCAGAATTACCCACTGTTGTTGTCTTCCATGGGTTATGTGGATTATGCAATGTACAAAGCCCATTATTTTGTACTTGGCCTTTTCTCACCACAATCTTCTCGGCCCCTAGATAGGTCAAAGCTAAAGGGACAATTTTGGCGAAGAGCTTTTTTCCATTTCTTTATATGTTTTGTTGTTGGGATCATCGTCGGTCTTACCCCATTTATTTCTCTGAATTTATCCATCAATGTTATGTCGAAACACCAAGCTGTCTTCATCGGGGTGCTCCAACCAGTAACAAACAGTCAGGGTTACGCCGGTCACAAAAATGAGACATCGGGGGTGGTAGATGACAGATTATACATAAATGAAAATTCAACATTAGAGCCACAAGTGGTGAATGTTGAACCAATAGATGGATTTTTTTATGACACTTCGGGGCACCATAAGCTTTTGATCATTGTGACACCAACATATGCTCGGCCGCTTCAGGCATACTATATGAGTCGTCTGGCAAACACATTAAAACTGATCAAGCATCCTTCCCTGTGGATTGTAGTGGAGATGAAGTCTCAATCAGCGGAAATAGCGGACTTATTGAGGAAAACAGGTGTCATGTACAGACATCTTGTAAGTGATAATAACTCAATTGACAAAATAGAAAGAGCTGTTCACCTCAGGAACGTGGCTCTCTCACACATAGAAACTCACCGTCTCAATGGAATTGTTTACTTCGCAGATGATGATAACATATACTCCATTGATCTCTTTAACCAAATGAGACAAATCAGGTACTTCCTTTTTCAGTTTCCATGTACAATCTAGACTCTAAAATTCTCTGTAATATCATCTGGTTCTGATTTAATTCATCAGCACATTGAGGCTTGCAGAACTTGTACAAGAATGTTCATTCGGCCGTTAAGATGTAAAAATGCATGTCAAGGTCTGTCAGCATGCTTTCTTAATGATATTAGGCCCATGTTTGGCCCCCATTTTCAAAAATCATTTTCAACCACATATGTCATGGGATCCATAAACTTTATCAACTTTTCAACCATATATTCGTCAACTTTTATCAAAATCTACTAAAAATCTTATTTTTAGCTAAACAAAATAGGGGCTAGTTTGCATGTTTTGATATGAAGAATTATAGATGACTATTAGCAAGTGAACAAAATTCTTATGCACTCGTGCCACACATGCATGTTTGGTGTGACTAGCTAGTTCTCTGTAATATCTTTATTTGCTATGCTTAGTTTTTAAGGGTATTAGAGTTTATTGCAGATAATAAGGAAAATTTATTGGGATTAATTTCAGATTATAAAAGAAAACGAAGACAAACATACAACTTAAAATACTGAAACCATGGTTAAAATGAAATAAAAAGTTTGACGTAACAGGACTCTTTCAGATCAAGTTTCATAAGATTATATCTTTGATCAGTTCATATTTTTATGCAATGATGAAAACAAAATACAGTTGTGCTTGTTGAACCTGTGTTAAAAAATATATGAAGCATGCTTCCAGGGTAAGTTAAAAAATTATGCATTTGCAGTATATATTTTCTACAGTCTTGTGAAAGTGTTATCATGTAACATTTTGTTTAAAACTTATTTTGTTTTCTTTGAACTGTATAGATTGCTCAAATGTTAATCATTCTGGCTGTAGTTTTACTTTTCTGGAGTTCATTTCTATTGTCACAATTCTGAATTATAGAAGCACTATGTTTAAAATTTATTTTCTATATATAGTCTGATGGGAATATTGCAAAGAAACTTGATGCCAATACTGTATGGGGAGTTTCGGGTTTATGTTCTTGATGAATAGGCAATCTGCATTTGGGACTGAATTTACTGGAGGTGCTTTAAGCATGGTGCTATTGGTTGCCGAGGTTGTAGACATATTGAGCAAAGATCTTTTCATGCACGTCTGTTTTATTATTAAACATAGTGGAATTGGTTCCTCATGCAAGCGCCTTTCCATGAAAATAGGTTTCATAGAAAAAGAAAAGGTACATTGAAAAAGTCTACCAATGCATAGACTAAGACTAACTACTATGAGACACACATTCCATTTATTGAGGTTCTTGTGTTATATGCAAATGATTTTTGTAAAATTGAGTTAATGTAAGGGGGTGAACCTTGAAGGTGGCTCTGATTCACTTCTTGCCAATGAGTCTAACTTTTAATCCATGCACTCTGGCAGAACATATCAGTCTAAAATTGATTATTCTTGTCCATGGTATTCATCTTGGAGTTACAGAATTGTTTATTCTTGTCCATGGTGCCTCGTCAAGAAGATAATTTTCTAAATGCAGGCAGTTTGGTACCTGGGTAGTGGCCAAGTTAGCGGAAGTAGGAAGACACGCTTCGTTCGAGGGTCCAATTTGTAATGGCTCTCAAGTGAGAGGATGGCACATGAATGATATGACAAAAAGATTTCGTAGATTCCATGCTGAGATGTCTGGTTTTGCTTTCAATAGTACTATTATTTGGGACCCAAAGAGATGGCACCGGCCTACTTTTGAACCAATCAGGCACCTTGATACAGTCGAAGAAGGTTTCCAAGTGAGTCTCTCGGTACAACTTTGATCACACTCAAGTTTAACACAATATGAATTTTTTTTTTTTTCTTTTTTTTCAACAATGTAAATCCTGTAAAGAATAGTGGAAGAAAGAAAAAATTAATCCTAAACAGGAAGGAAGAAGACTATAGGAAAGAACAGAGAATGGTATTATATCTGTATCTTCTTCTGACATTATCTTTGTGCATTTTAGGCAAGCACATTTATTGAGCAAATTGTGGAAGACGAAAGCCAAATGGAATGCTTTCCTTCAGACTCCAAAAACATTATGGTCTGGCATCGTAATGTGGACTTATATATCCGTCCTCAAATACGGGTTGTAGAGAATGGTTTGAGCGTTGTTGTTACACTTGCATGAAATTTTTGCCTAACTAAAATTTGAACGTGGATCCAGGTAAGACTGATCCTTTGTTTTCATTACTTCAATCCTTTCAAAATTTTCATCTGTCTTGTTTTAATTTATATTATTTCGCTCACCGTTTCACTTCACTCTCTTTTCTTGTAATAAATGTTTATTTTCCTTTATTAAATTTCAGAGAATTTTAATCATGAAGTAAAAAAGCATCCATTGTTATTCAAGAACTGAAGCTCTGTTATTACGTGTGCAGTGCACTGTTCAAGTCCAAATCATCGAAATATGGAGACATTTGGACTATACCGTATTGTAATCAATCATTCCCCATTTGGGCCATTTCCTTGAACTCAAATATTATTTCTGTATAGTTGCTGAGTTTGAGCGTTATCTCCATTGACTGCCATCCGCAGGAAGGGGAAATATTTTAACCTTCTATGAAGAATGGTTGACCAAACTTTATAAGGTTCCTGTGATTAGAGTTGTGCAAAATCTGGCTGTTTACCTGAATGTCTTTATATAATTTCTTTTTATGCACTTGCATTTGTCATTTTTTTGTGCAGAAATATATGATTTCTTTTTTTTTATCAATAAATGTGAATTATATAGATCAAAACTTATATACAAATACTCTGGGCATTCTCGGGCGAAAGCCAAATATCAACGGATCAAAATAACAAATACATCGACCACTGGGCATACACGGGCAATCAAAAGAGATTCCTAGCACATATTGCGTCAAAGACTCGTAAAGAACTAAAATATGCAGATACAAAGAAAACATAACTTTGTATATGTGTGTTTTAATCCGTCTAACAACGCTTTCAACTTGTGTATTAAAACCTTCAAAAATTTTCATGTTCCTTGTCGTTCATAAGTGGTAAATGGTGCTTGCAAGTGCAATCTTCTTAGCCCTGCTATGCCAAGTAGTCCCCCGAGCTGCTTTTTCATCCACTTTAAGGCACTTGGGCGTGTAGACATGGAACTTCTTTATTCTACAAAGACTTGTGTATGCAAAGAATGAGTGGAAGTTACTTCATTCTTTCCTCTTTTTCCATTCTTAATCCACTATGCAAGATCACCTTCAATGCTTATTCCCTCCATGGTTCAAAGCCTAGCCTAGATGTTTGGACCATGCTATGTGTACACAATGGTGTACATACGATCTTACACCCGAGGAGGGGGCGCCACGCACAATAAAATATTTGTGGAACTCCTCCATGTGAGGGGGGTGTAAGGCCTTGTGTACATCACGAGGTGTACACATAGCATTACTCTAGATGTTTTGTTGGATAGCATGGAGCCGTTTATACGCTTATTCCCAATATATACAGAATTTTAGGTAGGCAGTTTTAGGCATGACACACTTGAAGAAAACTTTAAACTTTTCTTCTCTATTATACTAAAAACTAGAGAAGCAACTCTGACATTGATGGTGAACCACATTAAATATGGAGATTTACTTTAGTTTTTATTCTCGTTCTATTTATTCCATGACGTAATCTTTAAGACTTCAACATGTTTACCAACAAAGAACTTGTCCTCCTTGCCCTTCTATATGGACTCATTCAGCTTTTGTATTCTTCTCATCATTACCCTTGGAATCCTATTATGTCTTCTTCTTCGAGTTAAAATCTAAATGCTTATTGAACTTCGATCATGCTACACTTACAGACAACTTTTAAACTCTAAAAGCTTTTTGGATGGTCATCAACTTATAAAATTGTTATTTGATTGACCATTAAACTTTAATAATTTTTTGAATGATCACCGAACTATCAAATTGTTATCTAATGCATTACTACATAATTAACTGTAAGAAAATTCGATGGGCTCACTGATGTGCCGAACAAAAATACTAACATGGTAAATTATTGCCATTAGTAGAGACGATAAATCGGCCAAAATTGTGATTTCATCTATTAAAGGCGGTAATAAAAAATGCAATTGAATTTTAACTTTTGCTTGCTTGCTTTATTTATCTGTATTTTCATTTAATTTTTTTAATTAATCATATTTTCTATAAGTGTATTTTTGATTGATTTATCTTCAAATAACAACAATAATGTACCATCCATTTTTTTTTTAAAGTTTAATAGCTAACGTGATAATGATTTGATAAGTTCGACAACCATTTAAAAAATTTGTAAAGTTTGATGACCAAAGGGATGATGATTTGATTAAGTTCAATGAATATCTGAAAAACTTTTAAAGTTTAATAACCCATGAAAAATATTGTGTCAAGTTCAATGGTCATATGAATTTTTAACCCTTTGTTCTTGCGTTCTCAACTATACTATTCATAGTCATTTTAATCGACTTTTACAACACATTTTCTATCGTTTCATGATTCTTTATTTATTTATTTATTTGTCTCAATGATATCTAATATTGAGTTGAGTTTTGTTCTTATGATGTGCACTTTGATGCAATTTATTGTTGATATTGCAAAAAGTTCATAGCCCCTTTCTTAAGGAATAAATAAATTTAAACTTGAGAATGAAATTGTAAAATCTCATGTACCAAATTATAAGACATTGAAAATGCTTCATCTTTCTTCTTGCATCTCTAATGTAGAACACAATCGATAAAGAATGAGATTGAGAAAGGAAGAGGAAGAGGAAGAGAGGAAAAAGACACGAAGAGGGTGCTGTTGCGTTTTTCATATCACAAGTGTACGATAGCGTAACAAAGTAGTATAGTGGACCTTTGAGTCTGAATATCATTCCCACGAGAACTGTATTTCAAGACTTAATCTAATTTTTCTAACTCTTATTTGATAAAAGCGAATAAAGAATTATGATAATTGTGATTATTTTTTTCTAACTATTTTTAACTACTTGAAAATATCAAAATTTTGCAAACAACGGTTGATTGAAATTTCAAATATGGGATAAATATCGGGGCATGAAAATTCATCTATTAATTACCTTAATTCTTTATTCAAGATTCATAATCTAATATAATGTTCGATCGAATTCTTTTATTGTATTCAATTTACCACTCTCGAGTTCTCATTGAACCTATTTAACTAATTCAATTACATATCTCTATATGAATCAACCTTAATTAAACATTAGTTCTAAGAATTTATATTATGACCGCAATAATAAGTATATGTATCTCTACACGTTATACTAATTTATTGAATTTTACTATATGGGCTAAGTCCCAAACCCACCTCCCGATTCATAAGAGACTTACATAATCATCAAATTAGTGATCAATTAATTCAATGAATTAAACTCATAGTAAAACCAACACATATATAAATAAATCTCAGAAATCTTGAATAAAAGAATAAAATTACAAGTCG